AGAGTAATTGTTAGTTATAATACCCTGCTTCGTGACCTCGGTATTATAGTTACTTAATAATTAACCCTGCTTTGTGACCTAGGTTAAGTTATTAAGTTCTTCGTGTATTTGTTTAGTTTCTTGGTGAAACTTTGTTATCTTCGTGACTTAGTTAGTAAATCTCTTATAAAACCTCACACCTTAGCCTCTTTCGATCAAATTCGTCTTACCTAAATCCTTCTTATCATTACTTTATTCATAGTAATACCTATCCGACTGTAGTTAATTGTTATAGTGTTTAAAGTTTATAAATACAATTTCCACTACTAGTCACTTAGTTTTCTTTTGTTTCTTTAGAAGATAAACCAAAGTTAACAGTAGGTAAGAGAACTGAATATTCAGATGCAGTTAAAAGAAATATAACTACAATTAGATGAAATACTGGTTTAATAAGTAACCAAGAGGATCCACTTCAAAATATAATGAATATACTTGAAACTATTAAACAAGATATAATAGAAATTAAAAAATAAATTAAAAATATTAATGAAAGAGTACAATATTTGAAGAAATATGCTGAATATAATTTGAAAGAAAAAATAGATCATATGATTGAGGATAAGTAAGAAGAAAAAGATACAGCAGAGAATAGTGATAAAGAGCTTATAGAAAAAATAAGAAAATTGTAAAAAATACAAATGGAACAAATAGTAAATACAGTTAAAATATTAGTAGAATTAATATCAGAATTGAAAAAATTCAATGATGAAATACAAGAAAGATTAAGTAGAATGGAACAATTATCTATTTTGTCAAAATATAGAGAACAGACAAAGGCTGCTTACAGTCGAGAGAACCAACAATCTTAATAATTTAAATATAATAATTAATTATAACAACACAAAAAAAAATAATAATAATATAACAGAAAGTGAACAAACTTCATTAAAAAATAATTATATAATTAATATAAATAATGAATATTTAAATAATAATAACACATTAAATAATATTTCAGAAAATAATAAAAAATCAAAAAAAAATATTAAAAATAATGAAAAAACAAGAAAAAAATAATGATAATATTATAATTTATACCTGCCACCCAAATTCAAAATCCAAATGCCGAAATCCCAAATGCCGAAATCCCAAATCCCAAATCC